ATCCCCTCTGTTTAGGATAATAATTGCTTAAACACTAGCAAAATAGATCACCTTTGTGAACACCACCAGGCAATTCAGGATCAAGAAGTCCTGAATTAGTTGTGGTTTATCATCATGCCATGTATCAGTTTGAATTTGCAGACTGTCACACCACCAGAAGTCTTTTAAGCCTTTTTCACTCTTCTTATGGCTTATGTAAAGAATTTCTACCTACTGTGATTTTTAAACTGCATGATGCCATAAGATCCTGCATGGTAAAGAACCCCCTCCTTTTTAACTTTTCAATATTAATGTGAGAGCACCTCACATGAAAATTTAATTTGGAAATTTATCATTTAAACTTTGAAAGAAATTCATGGAAATTTGTGACTTATAGCCTATTTTTTCAATTCAGAACAGATAAAATCCCACATATAGTACGCCAAGTCATGCATTATTACTTAGTTCAGGTTTGCAGCACCACTAAATCACTTCCTGCTCTGTAACTACACTAGAACAAAGAGAAGCAACAAGCAGATGATGTGTTACACTGAAATAAATTACATACAACTAAGTTTAAATATTTTACCAAACAGGGTCAAATTATATATAAATGATTTGGAGGCTTACAATGGCACAGGCTGTTCGTTGCTGAAAACCAACATACATCTTGAAATTGCAGATTGCTTCCAGTTTGCTAGTAATATCAAATTTAATCAGTAACAGAATAGCAAGGGAGAAATGGGGAAAAACGTATGTTTGAGTGAAAGTTGCAAATGAAGAGTCCTCAGTTACCTGCACATTCTGAAACCTCTTAAAGCAAATAGCGATTCGCCTGTGATTTTTCAAGTGTGCATCTCTCACAACACACAGAAATTAAGCGTTTGCTTACTGAAATGTGGCAATAACAGTTTTTCCCAACCCCAGCTAGGATCCTCACCTGCTTGTGGGCATTGGCCTGGGCGTGTCTGTGGGTGGGTGTGCACTTTCTGTATTCTTTCTGCAGCATGATCCTATTAGTCGTATGACGACAACTTGCTTCTGGAAAAAGTCCAGCCTGGTACCGGTAGGGCCTGTCTGTGGCTCCTTGCCAATGCCAATCGCTTGTTCCGCTGAAATAAAAGTTACGCCAGCGTAGAACTGGCACACGGCCAGATTCAGTTCTCCGAGCTCCAGCTATTGCTATCTGTATATTTAAAAAAGGCTCCAAACATTTACCGGAGTGCAAGCCGCAGTGTATTATTGTGCTAACTGAGAAACGAGCAAGCTATCTCTTTAGTTTCAAACGTTGTATTGTAATATCCACATGAAAAAACCCCACACTGTATCTTGCTAGACATTCAAAGTGGCAATGTACACATGCTGAATAAAGCGTTGAGGATAGGCTTTTATTTCACTGTGCCGTAAAAATTATCTGAGTTTTCTTAACTGCTTATTATGTATTTTACATAGGTTCGAGCTAGCGCGATTGCTCAGGATGCTGACCAGAACTACGACTATGCCAGTAACAGCGTGGTTCTTCACTTGGAGCCAGGAGATGAAGTTTACATTAAATTAGATGGAGGAAAAGCACATGGAGGAAACAACAACAAATACAGCACATTTTCTGGATTTATTATTTATGCTGACTGATAATGCGTAAAAAGACCCACCAAACCAGTCCAAAAACGAAGCTTGCTCTTCTGAGCAATGGATTTGCGTGGCAAAAGTCAATGAAACAAGCACCCCAGCAGAGCGACCACCGAACACCTCAGTAGCGGGGAAAAAAAGTTGAATGCTACCTGATTCGCATCTGTACCACACGGAGAAACCTTACGTTAAAAAATGACAAACCAAGTTAAACAGATGTGCGATCCACTACCGCCAAAGCAAATACTTCCTCATTGTTAGTGTCCATGTGAATGAAGTCCTACATAGATCAAATTTTTATAGAAAAAACCCACCACCACCTAAGGACGCCGAGTTATTTCTTCAGTGTATATGATACTTTGATGTGTTATGATCTTGCTGCTTTATCCATACTTCAGCTTTGGTTCTTGTGACTTACTTGCTAACAATGATGCTTGGAGTCCACTCATAGTGTGGTGAGGAATGATTTCACAATAAAAGGAAGAGGTAATCAAAATATACTTTCTCTCTCCAAAGGAATTGTTTGCCTTGTACTTTTCTTATCCTTCCACTTAAAACTAGAAACTAATTAGCTTCAAGCCTTAACTCAATGTTCCTGCTTTGTAGGTTTACATTAGACTTTTAACGTAAAATCAATCCAGTGGAGTTGTTTAAATTTTGTCTTGCCCTTAGCTGTGTCCTAAATGAAAAAGAAGGATAAAAGAAACACTTTTTTCCCTGAAAAACATAACAGTTGACTAACTATTCTATTGGACCGAATCCCTGATTCCACCGAAGCCAATGGCAAAACTCCCATTGATGTTAGTGGAAAAAGGATTTGGCTTTTCATTTGTAAACATGTGTAAATATATATTTAGGCAATATTACAGGCCCATTCTTGATAGTTAGTTGTGTAAATATCTAGCAAGCCTGGCATCCACATCCTCAGACTAAGGTAGAGTGTTTTCTTTGCAGCAGTTAGTCTTCATTAGCCTTTTAGGACTTAGTCTGTACTTGGGTACTATTTTTAATAAAATAGTTATGACTTAACATACCGCAGATGTTCAACTAGAATTTCATAGGAATATAATGTGTCAAAACCGTATTTGTCTTGGGTGTCTTGTCTCACTGAAGTTAGTGGGATTATTCCCACAAAGGAAGAGTAGGAGATCAGACACGTGAGAAAACGTTGTCACACAGACCTTTTCCATGGTAGCTAGTTACCCCTTTGTAGTAAGGCGTGCCTATCAAATGGACACAGATAAGCATATTACCAAAAATGATAACACATATGCAAAGAAAGAATCAGATATTTACATGCCAAAAAAAAAAAAAAGTGTGTATTAAAACCTATTTTTCTCATTCATAGATACATAGATATATATATATAAAGTCTCAAAGAAGCTTAATCCATCTAAAGGATTAATGGCTTGGAGAATTAAACTAAACACAGGTACTATGAGTTACATAGTTATAAAAATGCTTTAAAATCAGTCATAGCAGTACTGTCCACAGAATATTTTTATTTGTTTTGCTTTGGGAGGGGAGGCTGTCTATTTCTCTCAGGTTAAACTTGCAGATTTCGTTCTAGACCTACATTTTAGCAAGATAATTAACTAGCTCCTTAGCACAGTTGGTTATGTTATTTATTTTTAACATTTTGGCCAAATCAAGGTAACATTTCTATAAGTCGTTACAGAGTAATAGAGGCTACCCCTAGCATTTCTATTTCATGTCCTTTGCCACAAGCAACCTTGTCTAATGTACTAAGGGTACAAACTCAAATTTGTCTGCACTAAAATGTTGAAAGTGTCTGCCACTGTGACAAAAAAGCTCTTCAGTGCTGGCTGCTCAGTAAAAGTCTGATGAATATTTTACAAATCTCTCTAAAAATCTCTTGTTTGAATGAGTGAAGCTTTTCTTAAACAGAACGTGTTACCCTTTTGGTTTCCAAGTTGTCCAATTAAAATAAATGCTGAGTTAGTCTAGACTGACTGCGAGGGTCGCCAGCCTAACTCACCTAGGATTTATAGAGGGACACTGTGCTGCCCGGTGATGTGTGCTATCTCACCAGAGTGGTAAACTGGCTTTTCCTTTATGACAAAGTGCCACCCGATATCCGTACCTTGTGGTGATTACTCCTGTTTTTTTTTTTCTTTTCTACCAGGTAATGTATTTTAATAACAGATGCGTAACTGACTTCATTTGTTGCGTTTACTGGTTAGCGTGCTCATGACAGCAGTGTAGCTAGAGATTTTCTCCGTAGTTTCAAGCAGCAGCAATGTACCAAGCTAGGGATCATTTACAACTAGCAGTGTGTAGTTACTAAGGTATTTATTGGAAAAGCTCGATACTACAAGACGTATATGGTCAAATTTGAAGAAGCTTTTAAAATCAGGCCACCACTGCTACTGGATAAGACCATCTTTTTGGACAAATCACCTGCCCTCGTTAAAGTTAGACAAGAGCAAAGAACACACTTTGTGTGAAAAAAACACATATAAGGCAAACATTTCTTCCTTTTTCTTCATATCTTGATATACTGATTTGTAAAGACTTATATCACAACCTTTGTTATAACTATTGCAACTCATTAAAACTGTATTTAATGTAATATATTTTGACTTCTGGTGTTGCATCCTTACAAAAAGAAGCTGGTCTCCACAAAGTTTCACACAATTGCAGTGGGATTCTATAGGTTCAGGCTAAAAAATTAATGTGGTTAAAAAAAGACATCTGTAATAATACTGCACATAGTTTAAGCTGTCATCAAATTTCTTTATTCAAAAATATATTTTTCCATGTATTTTTTACACTTTCAGTTAAAAATAAGTAAATTGTTAAGCTAGAAGGAGACTATATGTTTTTAGAATCATTTGAGATTTCTTTTGCCTTCTGTTGTCTATGGAAGCTATTTAAAAGTCCCAGACCTTTTATCAAGCATTATTTAAAGAACATAAGGATAATTAGAAGATTGTCAATATTACAAGGACTAAAATCATGCCTTGGATTCTCCTGGAGAAGGAGAATTTAACTGAAAATCATAATTTCCTTCAAAGTCCAAGGGAAACATCTTCAAAAATATTTTTGGATAACTTTTAATAATAGTATTAGATTACTCTCTAGAAACAATTATTTTATTACAACAATTAGAAACCATTGAAAAGATTTTGCAGGTAGGCTCATATCCAGTAAATCATTCATGAACAGACTTTTAGAAGGGAGAAAATGCAGAGGGAGTACATAATTTTGTTGTTCTAATTAAAAGTAAAAGTAAAAATCAGTTTCTTCGCATCTAATTAATAACTTCTAGTTTCTCTGAAAAGAACCGAGTCTTAAAATGACTGCTCAGCTGAAACAAGTCTGAATTTTATCAAGCTTCCCTATCAAATGGGAATATTTATTCACTATTCCTACTTAAAAGTCAACCACCGCTTTGGATTTGCTAGGAGTATTTTATCAATTTTGTCTTGGGATATGCCTCTAATTAGCATTTTAGGAACTATGTTTTTAAGGATATGTGAATATCCATGACCTCCATATTTCATCAACCTATTCTTAGTGTGCACATCATGAGCGATCAGAATTCTGTCTTCGTAGCCTTCATCGATCAGCATACGAACCCTGCAGAAGTAAAAAGCGTACCCGTCAGTGAAAGGTGCCCACTCTGCGACATCACAGAACTAAGCAGGATTTAAATTTTTTACATTCCTGTGCTGCTGGACTGTATTAGCACTGAAAACACTTATCTTTAGGTACTCAGAAGACGTATTCCTTGCATGAATAAAACCACCTCTGAAAACATACCACCACACATCCCAAAGTGGAGAAGGAAAACTCTTCCCGGCTGGCACATGACTTTGCACTCCCAGTCCCACTAAGTCCACGGAGGAATTGAAGGACTTCAGCTTCACCAAGCACGGGACACAGGTTTTACACACATGAGTAAGTAATAATTTCCTACATAAACTCCTCCTCAGCACAATCGATTCCTGGGATTAGTTCATGCTGCTGTCACACAGCTAGTTCCATTACATTTGTTAAGGACCGGACTCTCTGTGTGACAGGTCCTTTAAGAAGCCTGTCTCATTTACACAAATACTTTCACATCTTCAGTTAATTCCCATTTAGCAAACCAGGTTAATAAAAATTTTAAGTTGTCAGCATCATATTCCATATAGAGAGTTATCATCCGAACATGTTTCAAAGATGTTCATTAAAGAAGAAGATAAATAAGACAGGCATTGCAGATACGCCAGGAAAGAAGAGGAGTTAATACAGCAGCCCAGCGGAACAGACTTGGCAAAATGACAAGAAGTCAGCTTGGAAAAAGAAGCAATGCTTTTGGTCACTCCCTTGAAACCAGTCTGCTACAAGAACTCCTTCTGTTCCACATTTCACTCTGGGAACTTTAACCCCTGGTTCAGCTCATTTTTTACAACTTGTTTGGTGGGTGTCTGTATTGCGTGACTGTTAAGTTTCCCACTCAGCTTCAGTTTAGTTCGGCAGTAGATTGCAGTATTAAAGTGGCAGAGACGGATAGACCAGACCTGGAAAGTGCTCGTTCCTCATGAAGGCACCCAATTCCATCATTTGCCAGTGCTGTGAAATTCTAATTCTTACCTCAACGCCATAAACAGTGCCACATAGTGCACAACACTATGTATACCGTAGTATTACAACATCACAAGTATCTTCTCCGGCCTGAGATACAGAGACCACAAGCCAACCAGAGAATGAGAACAATGACACTGGAGGGACTAAGTTCTTTTCTGAACAAACATCTTCTTAGAATCAACTCCTTTCCTATTTGGACTCATTTCATGGGTTGGGGAGGCATATATTCCTTTAGATTCCATATTCATTGCTGCTTTTTGCTCATTCCTGTAAGTTTAGTTAGTACTTGCTTCTGCCCCAAAGAAAAACTGTCCCTGAAAAAATTCAGTTTTTCACTTGCATTGGCAGTAGATTGCAGCAAAAACTCGTAAGTACACGCACCACTAAACTGTGTTTGAGTAGGTATGGCGTGACTACGCAAGTTTACGTTTTGAATAGACAAGACTCGAACATATATTTTCCGTTTAGTATTTTCATCAATACATTTAAAGGTCAATTTGATTTCCACCTCTCTGGTGCTGTTTGACAAAAGAGGAAACCCAAGGAGACTGCCACTGCCATCCTATGTCCAGTGTGGATGCATCAAAAGCCCAACAAAATCCATGTAATGGCACTTCTAACTCGAGTGCACATATTCACACCATACAAGGAGATGGCAAACTTTTCATATTTTCTTCCTATAAACAGCCTGCTGCAAGAAATACTCAAATGCCAGAGAGTTTAAGGAGAGACATTGGTGGCTGAGCAAGTACCACGGCTGGAATGAAAACTTTGCCACGGTTGAACAAGCGCTTGTTAACCAAGACACAGTCCATTCCTCTACCCATATTCCTCACAGTGCTTCTGCACGTGCTGACCTCGCGTGGCACAGAGCAAGGGAGGAGGGCGCAGGGCAGGGGGGCACCTTTACCCATTCTAGGTGTGAAACCTGCCAATTCACTGCAACAGTTTAAAATACTGAGTGCAAGACTGAGGGCCCTGTTAAGAGAGAGGAGTGATTTCTAGTGTGAAAAGCAGCAGCAAACGCTTGGCAGTAAGTGGAGTAGCAACCACAGCACCTTCTTGAAAAGAGAACAGCCTGAAAACAGAGAAGAGAAGTCTTGAGGCTAATCTGATAACGAGGGGCAGGGAAGCTATGTCCGAAATACAAGCAAAAGCTGGAAAGTTACTTCATTAGTGATCGGGGAATCATAAAATCTTCCTCATCACAGAGAAGAAAATAATTGTTTCTGATCCTAGAAGGAAAAAGGACAAGGGCAGGATGGCACCCCACCCCTCAGAGACCTGCCACACACTGTGGACAAACAGCACAGGAGAATCACACCTCTGGGCAGAGTGAGAAGCCGATTCCCAGCGGATCCTATCTACCTGTCTCGGGCAGCTTCTGCAAGGAATGCATCTCCTTGGCAATACCTTGTGTTAGCACAGCACAACAGATTTGCTGTGCAGCTGAGCTGAGACTGCATGTGCTGACGAGAAGCAGGGAAGAGGTATCCTGCCAGTGGGGCCAATATTTTCACATTGTGAGTGTGAGGAACGTGGGAGTTCTGAGGAGACTGGAATCTCACCCTTCAAAAGAGGGAAAGGGCAAAAGGAGAGTGGGAGGAGAGGTAATAAAGTGCTTGGAAGAACAAAAGTCTGGTTTTGAGGACAGAAGCACGAATCAAACCCACCCACAACGAGTTTTGGTCGGTTAGCGCATTCGTGAGGAGATGTAACAGGCTCCGACGATGCTTAGCAGCAGCACTAGGTTTCCAGTACCATGTTTCAAACAAAAGCCAAACCCTAACGTAAGTCTGTATCTCCAGCCTTTTCTTTTTTACAGCCTATATAAATGCAGTACATGATAAAATTCAGCCAGATCAGCATGTGATTAGGACAGAGATTGAAGTTTAAAATGCTCTTGATGTTTTTCTCAAGTAACTTTCTACAACACTACGATTCTACATCTTCCTTTGCAGATGAAGGAAATCATACATGCTGCCCTAAAGGCGTGACAGGAGCAGAAAAAAACCTGTCATTATCTTAGTATGAAAAAAAGACAATTTTGAACAGCAAGCAGTATTACCCTGTGATGCCCTTAAAGCAAGTACCAGAAATACTCATTTGTCAATGGCAATGCTACAGCTTAAACGGCACGGAAGCAGATACCTTGCAATTCTTTCATTGTCGCTCGGCATGTCAATATCAGGATGGAACTGGTAGTGAAGAAACTCTGTACCAAATAGGTCATACTCTAAATAGCATCCAAGTTTAGCAAATTCCAGAAGTTTCTTTGTATCAAATATAGTCCTGTAGAGCATATATAATACAAAGTCAGCATTGCAATAGAAAGGAAAAAAAAAACCCCTCATGGTATGAGGATAGGTATTTTGCAGCTTCCTAATTGCAACGAACAAAAACAATAATCCAAGATTTAATTCACCCTTTTGAAAAACAGGACTCCTGTTTGACACATGGACCTTAAGAAGCTCATACACAGCATTGCCCTTCCTACATTCATCTGGGACTTCATGCATTAAAAAAAACCAAAACAAAACCAACTCTTCCTCCATGAAATAATGAAAACATTTATGATAATCTTTAAATGGAAATAGAAAAGTTACTTGCTTTTGATATCATTAAACTTCTCAACAGACAACCTAACAAGGAAGGACATTTAAGGAGGAGGTTAATTCATAGTGACATTTTAAAAAAAGACAATGGATTACTTACACAAGACAGATTTACTTTCCCAAAAGAGTTACAGGAGACAGCTACATCCAGGGCTTGTTCCATCCATCACACACTGGTAATACACAACTTTGTCTTTAGTTTCTATTCTGTACAGTGATGTTTCTAGATTGTCATTAGAACAGCAATATATCATTGTTTGCACTGGGATCTGGCCAGAATGCCTTAAGGAAACGCTCTCACCAAAATATATAATGGCACTGTGAGTACCTGGGACATGGGCTTTGCAGCAGATTTGAAAAGTTGAAGGAACAAAGCTACTAAACCCCATCACTCATTCAGAAAAGAACAGCAACTGAAATTAGAGCTCTCTGGAATATTTTTTTTCTTTGAATCACTTTTATCAAGAGTATAAGCTATCCAAAGGAAAACAAAAATGCTCAAATGATACATTATAAATTTATCTTTATAACAACAACACAATTTTTTTAATCTAAGGAAAAAACAATTTTCCTTGAGAACAGCACAGTTAACCAAAAGGGCAGTAGTTTAGGGGTTTTTTATTATTGCAGATATTGGTGCCACAAAGTAATTTTACCCTATATAATTACATCACAGTCTGTTGCTATGGAGATTACTGATGTCACAATTTCAATATTATGACTTAACAACAGGATCAAGTAGGAGGAACAGATGGGTTGAGAGAGAGAAAACCCTTGTTCAAGCAAGTCTGCCATCAGCAGGAGTCTAAGACTTGCCAACTGTAATTAATAAAAAAATGTTATTTTTAAACAAATGTTACAGTTTACAGAGCCTGAACTTTTATTACCAAATGAGTTTTCAAAGTGCAGAGCAAGAGAATGGGTTGTATTAGATCCAGCCCTGCTCAGTTCACAGGGACACAGTAGAGCCAAGAGTGTTCATCCCTGTGCAGGTGGCAAAAAGCACCCAACACTGTATTTCAAAATCACAGCCAGAACAACTTCTTTTGAAAACTACTGTTAGTGGTGTGCTTTTGGGTGCTCTGCCCCAACGAAGAGCTGGAGAGCTTAATTCCATCAGCCATTGGGTCCCCTTGTAAGCCACACACATGTAGCAGCAGCAGTTCCCAGTCAAATCGCTAATTGTGCTGGAATTAGGTGCTTGGGCAGCACGTGTCCCTGAGCAGCCCTGAACACACGGAAAAGGAGAGGGGACAGAGGGAAGCATCCTGTAATTTGGACCTCATCCATAAATCACCACAGGGACACCCACCAAACCATTATCAAACAGGGGTTCATAACAGCTGCTGTGAATCTTCTAACAAAAGCTACTCAAGTGAACGAATGTTGATCTCCACCAAGATACCTTTATAACCTTCATCTCTAATAAATGGCCAAAGCCAAGACTCAATAGTTTTTGCTTCCCAGCCTTTATCTAACCGTAGTTTCATTATGGACACTTGGTACTTTTTGTTCTAAGGTGCTAAATTGCAAAACATGGTAGCCAGCATTTTAGTTCTATCATCTGACTGTAAATCCACCTGAAAACTACCATTCTGTCTATGTCAAAAGCAGACATGAAATATGGAGCTATGTACAAATTTATCTCGCATTTAAAGGACTGGGATGCTCCCACATGGATTGTTCTCACTGGAGGAGACTTAAAATGTTAAATGCACATTGCGAAGCCAAACTTCACATTCGTTTAGAGTCTATGTTATAGCAAGTGCCAACCTGAATGTGTGAAAGTAATGATATAAGGAGTACAAGGAAATGTCATATTGTGCATCAGCGGCTGTTAGTGAAACTGCACCTCTGTCTTGACTGTTTTCCTACTTATATTGCTTATTTTCCATCAGTAAATCACTGAATTCAACAGTTTACAACAGTGTATAAAGGCAAAAAAAGGTAACTGGATTTTTTTATGTTGTATCAAAATGGCTACATAAGTACTGACACCTGCAGCTTGCTCAGTCCTCTTTCACAGAAAGATTTAAGTAATCAGTTTTTCTTTAAAAATGAGAGAAAAATATAGCTATAGATACAATGGAATGCAGGTAAATACATAAAGAAAGCCCGTATCATTTATACATTGTCAAATATAAATAAAATTTCGTGGCACTGAATTTTATGCTCTTAAGATCCCCAAGTAAAACATTGAGCTCTGTGTGAATACAAAACACCTGCAGCTTGATTTGCAAGCCCTTAGAGCCTGCAACCGTTAAGAAATTTGGAGCACAGTGCTCTTTGCCTGTGTTACACTCACACTGAGGGCAAACAATTCAATTGCTGAGAATCATATGACTGCAAGCAGTCTCCATTATTCAGCAACTGGCCAAACTAATCAATGCTTGGACATTTTCCAGCTCACCATGAGTAGTACAAGGTCACACAAAACTGATTTTGTAATAGAGGCTGTGTTTCTAAACTGGAAAGAGAAAATCAACCCTGTTCCTCCCCATGGCTGACGTGGAGGTCCTGGGTTTTGCTCTCAAGGAAACTAAAAGTTAGCTCTCTAGTCTATGCTAAGAACTATCCAAAACCCAAAAATTTTCTCTTTAAACAATATTTCTCCTGTCTGGTAGCTGAACTGAAAAGATCTGGCTTCTGCTTTGATCCAGCATCCAGCCAAATCAGAGTTCTCCATTAGTAGCTGAGAGATTTTGGTCAGGCCCTTAAGAGTGGCCCAGTTTTCAAAACTGCTGGAAGCAACTGGTGACAGTTGCTCAACGTCCAATGCTTTCTAAATGCAGTGATTTGTGCAGGGATATGAATGAATGGAATCCCCATTTTCTAAAAATGTGGCTACAGTTATTCCTGATCTCGCCCCCAGACCTTCAAAGAGAGCGTTTAAAATCCATAAATCTCTTTCTCAGTGTGAACCTAAAAGCTGATCCTGACTGAAGTTCTGGAAGCTGATCAAGCTCTCTATAGGCAGTTTCATGTTTTTAAGTCAGTAAACTTGAAGATAATTCTTCATGTCATGATCCCAGCGCACAACAGAAACCTAGCTATTTGCAGAGTGGCTCCCCCAAGCCCCAGCAGGTTGTGGCAACGCTGCCAGAAGGACGGCAGAATGGTCTGCTTACCTGTCAAGGTGAGACATGACCGTCTTCGAAGTATCAGCCCCAGCTTCCTGCAGAATGCGGATAATCTGGAAAGGTGCATCGCTGTTCCTGCCAGGATGGATGATAACAGGGCACCCAAGCTGTGACTGAGCCTGCGCTGTTGCCTGAAGCACTCTGTGTTCACTCTGAGTCAAAGGCCAGGAGCAACCTATCTCCCCCACCACACCACACTTGATGTTAGTCCCATCCGCTCCATTGAGTATCTCATCAACAATAATGCCTGTAAGCTAGAAAACAGGAAAATGAAATTTCCGGTTATTAATACTGGTTGTGTTAAATAGCATCAAATTTGGCCTATGGACATGGGGCTAGTTACACTCCTGAGGTCTTTCTGAACTTATTTAATTAACAGTTGGGTGTGTGAAAAAACTGCAGTTAAAATCTGGTTTCTGTCAACTAACATTGTGCTAGCCATTCACTAAGACCAAAATAAACACAAAGCAAACCAATTTCAGAGTATCCACTCACACAGTTGCCCAGGTCTGCCAGGAAAGCTGGTCTACATAAAATTTGAACACTGACTTAGTCTGAGACTAATTTTTCTCTAAAAAACCCAAAGTTAGCTCAGCATGAAACCTGTGCCTCACGTTCCTGAACTGTTTGCAGAAGCAATTCAGTGTAATTTCACAGAATCACAGAATCACTAAGGTTGGAAAAGACGCTCAAGATCATCAAGTCCAATCATTAACCCAA